AAACTGGATTTGTTTGTAGAGGCCAGTAAGTGCCTACTCACTCACTTTAGATTCTGTTACAAACATCATTGATGATGATGATGATGATTAGACTTTGAAACTTTCAGAAGAAGCATGTTTTTCATGTTTGAGAGGTCAATGTTAGCATTGTGAGCCTTTCTGAAACATCTGTAAGAATTTTTTGTGCACCTTTTGATGATGTATGCCTATGTTTAAAAATAAGTTTTTACAGCTGTAACAAAAATATAAAATTAAAAACTAAAGAAAATACAAGCATCCAGTTAGTGAACAAAACATGTAAATCAAAACAAAATGAAGTTTCATTATCATACATTGATTTACTTAAACAAATGTTTCTAATCTTGGTTGCTATAGTCAATGTTTCAACCATAGCAGTCCTAGGCCTACTTCAGGTATCTTTTGAAATATTTCAAACAAAATTTTTTATTTAGTCTATGGAGTTATACAAATATACACTTAATATGTATATTAATGTCACTGTCTTTGCTAGAGGATGTCTTGTATAAACTAATTCTTCCTTGCAATTTTACTTGCTGCACTACCCAACTCCAAGATTGAACTTATAACCATCATGTAGTATAAAAAGTCATCAGTGGAAGAGAGAAATGATATTACTAGGAAGAACTGATAAAAGATTTATTCTAGCATGGATAGATAGCAGAATTACAATAATCTACTTTGTTAACTGAATAAAGGGTTCAGTTTAATATTCCCAGGTGACTGACTATGACAATCCTCTGATAAAAGCTGGAGGGTAACAATGACAGAAATGTTGTGACTATAACCATCAAGAAAAGGACATTCTGTCTGAGTAAATCAGTGTATAATAATTTCTCATCTCAAAAATTCAAACAAAAAAAAAAAAAAAAAAAAAAAAAAAACTGAAATTTAAAAAATAAAACAGTAAAAATTGATTTACAAATAAATTCTTTTCAGAACTTATTTGATGATGAAATTGAAAAAAGAGGTAAAAAAGATGTTGCAAGTTTTAGAAAAGGCTTGAAAAATTTAGGAATAAAAGCAAATTTGAAATTTTGAGGAAATTAGTTAATAACTAGAAGACACTAATGTAATTAACATTATTATTTAACATTATTAAGGTATAAATGAAGTTTAACCTTTTTATTCCTTAGTAGAATGCTTTCTCTCAAAGAAAATAGAAAGATGAATCAATTCATTATTATTTATCTATGTAGAGATTGATAAGTCTATAGCCAATGCCAATAAGTGAGACAGTGATCAATAAAATATCATAAAAAAGAAAAGCTATGGATACTAATAAAGGTAATGATCATGATAACATAAGTAAAAAAAATAAATAGCAGTATTAAAAGTTTCAGGAGCAACAGTTTGTTTTTGGCATTTCAGAAACTGCTTTGAAAAAATAAATGAAAGATTAGTAAACAGTAGTAAAATGAACAGTCCAGATTGGGATCATAGCAAATAACAATAAGGCCATCACAAAACTAGGAAAGCTTACCAAGGAGGAATTAAAAAAGCTCAGGGAAAGGCAGGTATTAAAATCAAGCAAATGGAAGACTATATTCATTGCATATTAGAGATATATATTAAAATAAATTAATAATGGATTAAAAGAGAAAAACATACTTATAATAAAAATATTAGAAATATCTAAAATTGAAGTAGTTATGAAGTAGTTAAGCAAATGCTAGAAATAATTTTGTAAAGTTACATGATCTCATTTCAAAAATAATATATTTTTAAAACTAAAAATGAAGTATGAAAACTGACAATTATGGGGAGATAACTCAAGTGGGCATTTACCCTAAAGAGAAGCTATATTTCACAAAATTGTCAAAAAATTGCACACAGCTATCTTGATTTAACATTTCCTCTCAGAGGTTGGCAATCACCTGAGCAATTTTCCTGCTTAAAATTTGTTTAGGAAGTAACTTAATCCACTAGTCTTCCTGTGCAACTCACATGAAAGGTAGACAAGTGGCATCATATCTTTAATTCACTGTATACAGGTGCAAAAAGGCACAGATGAAAGTAATACTCTTTAGTAGTAACATTTTTGACAAGGTATGATTTAATAACAAGTTCCTTTCTATACTATATCATAAGTCATCTACACAAGCAAAATTGATAACATTTTCTGAAGAGTTTTCTGAGTGTTGATTGTAGTATTATGAATTGAAGTTTAAATTATAATAAAAATGACTATCCAAGCAAAAATATTTCTAAAATGTCAATCTTCACAGCAAACTTCTGAATACTAGGAAATAAATGATTGCTTTTATGGGGGGAAGTAATTGTTCATTAATTTAGTATATTAGAGAAGAAGTGAAAAGTAAGACCGAGATCCATTTAGACAGCTAGGTTAGTGCAATCTCAATAACCACAAACAATAACAGTGCTACAGGTAAAACGTTTTTATTCATAAAAACGATAAACAATGCTGAGAACAAAACAGTTGTTGGTACAAAACCTACAGTTTGATAACCAGTCCATTTTTTTAATTTTTTTTTATTTTTTATTTTTTTATTTTTTATTTTTTAAATTTTTTTTTAAAATTTTTTTTAGATCTGCAGACGACATTGTCATCATTACATTTTTTTCTTTTTAGTTCAATAATTTTTTCTCTCTTCATTTTAATGTAGGTAAGAGGTTCCATTCAATGCCTGTCTGCCTGTAGTGACAGTAATATTAGTAGTAATAGAAGAGGGGTAGGAGAAAGGTGAAGCTGGGATGGCTTAAATGAAACATTACTCCTTGAGAAACTAGCTGTCATCCTTACTACCAAGAGGATGCTATCAGGGCTGGATGAGAGTGGGATGGGAAAATTAATTTGGTTTTAGTTAGATATACAACAAAATCTGGTCCTAGTTTTATGAAAATAAAATTAAAACAAGTCTAGTTTTAGATTTTTCCAAGAACTTTGATAGAAAGATTAAAAAACTATTCCAACAAGGTGAAAGCTTACTTGGAAAGTTTATATCAAAATTAATATTTTAATTTAAAATGTAGGAGATCAAGGTAATTTTTTTATATCTAAAAGGTTTTTAAAAAAATCTGAAATAAAAACTAAATTTAATATTTGGTAAGATCATTGTTTTGTAGTATTTTCATTTATAAATACAGTTGAATTTTAAAGTTTAAGCTAGCCATTTTCACATCTTTCTTAGTTGCTACTGCATAAGCTTGTTGGTTGATGTACTTATACTTCTAACATAACAAGCTACATGCAATAACAGCTGAGGAAGAGGAGAGATTTCACTCAAAAATAAATGTACAGTTCAAACAATTATCTAACCAAATATCTAATAAATCTTCATCCCATAACTACAGAAAAGTCATCAAAAACTAAAACTGTTGATCATTTGGAATCCTAAAAACTATATTGTATTTCATCATCAATATATAAATATATATATATATATATATATATATATATATATATATATATATGTATATTTAATGACAAATATGAATGTAAATTTAACAGATTTTATTATGTATTCTGGTGGTAGCAACACTGCTTATTGGTACCCCTAAAATACAGGAGATATCCCCAGATATCTAACAGCACAGCCAATATCTGTAATCTTTCATATACAAGCATTGGTCCCCAACAATGATTTGGAGTCAATCCATTCAGATGTTTACCACATACACACACAATAACAATGTGTTTCAATTATATTCTCACATCAATTATTTTCTTTTGTTGCATCTGTACCTTTTACTCACAATTTCTCAAACTCCAGATTTGAATAATTACAAAAAGATGTTTAAATCTAAAATTGATTAATATGACTGCTAATTCCAATTAATTTAAAGTTTTGTACATGTCATTTGAAGTTTTAAAAAAAAATTTTTCTCACTCTTTAACAGGGTTGGTAGGAAAATGTTGTGGGGGGAAAATTTTGGAAAAGAAAAGTCTGTAAAAAATTCTCTATTTTCAGATTTAAATTTTTTCTTTATTTTTCAATCATAATTGAGACAATTAGCCTTTGTTTTGTTTAACGAGGAAAATAAAAATTAGAAAATGAGAAAGCAGTCGATGTATGTGCTTTAGAGAAGAGAGGGGAAGAAAGTTAAATGCACATACGCTTTCTGCATATATATATATATATATATATATATATATATATATATATATATATATATATATATATGAAATGAAGCTACAGTATAAATGGTGAAAATGTTAACATTATAGTCAACCTCTGTAGTTATACTGTATTAAACATACAAATAAGTAGATGTAATATGGCAGCAACTGCAAACAAATTTGCACACATGCTTCTAGCTTCAATTAAAAAGACAAGAATCAGATAAGAGCAATTGATTTTTATTTTTTTTAAATTTAGTTTTTTTTTCTCCAATATTTTGCTTAAAATTTTTTAAATTTAATTTTCAAACTTGGGACGAAAGGGATTTATTATAAAAAGGTGTAAACTAACAATAAAATTACACAGGTGTCTTAGCTCAACTGGTTGGGAATTTTCTGCTATTTCCACAAACTGGATTTGCTGGATATTAATTTATTGGCTACAGCCTTTAAGTGACCTTAAAAAAAAAAATTTTAAATCCAATTTTCCTTGTTTTTTTTAACGAAGTCTGTTAAAACAAATAATGTGATGTTTTCAGCAACCAGAATGCATTTACTATATAATATTTAAAAAAAAAAAAAAAAAGTCATAAAAAGTTAAAAATTAATTTTTTTTTCTCTTTTCAGCATGAGCTAGCACCAAATTACTAAGACCTGGAAGGAGGTACTTCAACACTGCACAGTTTCAGCAAAATATAAGCAAGCTTAGAACATAAGTTCTAAATGAATAATAAAGGATTCTTAAAATAGTATAAAAATGAGTAAGAATGATAAAATAAATGATAAAGGGGCAGAGTGACATTAAGTCACAGAATAATTCCAACAGCAGCTCTTACGGTGCCCAACTGTATACTACCAAAAATATGATGCAAGGTATAGTCCAAATTGGTGCAGTACATGCTCAAATTGATGTGTCTACGGTTTGGTTGGTGCTAGCAGACCCATCGGTGCGCGGGCTGGCTGGAAATTTGTACCTCATCCTAAGGTTTTCAAGTGATTGGGAACTATAGTTCGAAGACAGGCTACGCCCGTCATAACGCGTGTCTAATGCCATGCGGAAAGCATTAACAACACGAATCTGAAAAATAGAGAAAAAAAAAACAAAAACAAAAACAAAAACAAAACAAAAAGGGAAAGTCAAATGAATGCACAGACAAAATAATAAAAATAAAACAAACAAAAATGCTGCAGCATTCACTAAAAAAAACAAAAGGTAAGGTACACAACAGAAACTAATAAACTAGTGCAAACACTAAAATTATAACAAAAGCAACTAATGAGAACAAGTGATGTGTATTTTTTTTTTGTTTCACATTTTCAGGAAAGTAAAACAAATAGTAGCAAGGGAAGGTGAACAAAACAAGCTAAAAAAAAAAAAAAACAAAAAAAAAAAAAAAAATAAACAGGTAGCAATGACTAATAAAATAAAATGATGGGTCTCATATATGTGTATGTGTTCAAATGCATATACACACCATGCAGGGAAGAGTACCAGAGGATAGAGGAAAGGGATGCCAACACAAACAAACCAACTCCACGCAGGAATATCACAACACAGCTAGTAAAATCCATCGATTTTGTCTTTTTTTTTACCTCTCCATTTGAGAGCAGTGAAGTGGCTAGTTTGTGTTTAGACAAAGTGAGTGAAGTATAGTATTAATAGGACTTCTACAATCAATTTCAGGACTATAAGTTAGATATACACTATTTCACAGGAGTCCATTCATATGGTAAGGGAAGGGGATGTATTTTTTCTTTTGAAAAAAAATTGGAAATGAATGGGGGGGGATTTTTTTTGTGATTTTATATGGGGAATGTAAAGACAAGTAGAACCCCCCAAAATTAAAGGTTAAATTAAAAAAAAAATAAAGAGAGAGAGAAAAAAAAGGTGCACTGCACCAGAAACTTGGATTAATCTATAATTGTACTGTATCAGAAAGATGGCACCATTACGTAATAAGTCAAGTAGGCTTGACTTTCTTCTCTTTAATTTCACATTCCTCAACATCAGTTTTTTTTTCCTGGTATTTTTCAATTTTTTTTTTTTGTTTCAATGATTTTTTTTCCTCTTTTTATTTGTATGTTTTTTTTTTTTTTTAAACTTTTTTTTTTTTTTTTTTTTTTCCTTTTGGAGATGATACAATTTCAGTTTGTAAAAACACTGCATTCACTTGAGATGACTGATTCTTGTGGGTATGGATCCACTAGAACAGGAGAAAAATGATGTCCATCACCTCAGAGAAATGCAAGATTTATTTCTTCAATACAAACGCCATCATTTGTTTTGAGATTATATATATGTGTGTGTGTGTGTGTGTGTGTGTGTGTATATATATATATATATATATATATATATATATACACACACACACATATATATATTATTATTATTATTATTCCACTAACTGAATGTGTTAGGGGAAAAATTACAGAAAAACTTTGTTTCTTTTCTTTTTATCATCATTTTTGTTGCCCATGAGATTATAAACACGATACTAAATTGAAGTCTCATGGATATTTGTGTTGGCAATGTCAGACTGGCTGAAGGTCTTAGTTGGAGACTTTTTGCGGGCTTGGTTGACGGGGGCCAGAATAGGTGAGGGTTGCTTGGCAACCAGAGGAACATTTTCAAATGACTGGCTCTTCGCTTTGAACGGCTGATGATCAAGTGGAGAGATCGGAGTGGAGACAATTTCTGGGGTGTTAAGGTATATGTTTTCTGGTGGACTTGAGCGTAAATGGTGGTCATGGTGGTAAGCCTCCTCACTTATGGGCCGGGGCCCTGGGTGGCTACGTGAACTACGTATGCTGTGTAAACTGTGGAAACTGTGAATGCTACGTTTTTCCTCAAGGTCTTCCAAAGTACTCTTAAACGCTCGCACTACCCGAAGCTGTCAACAGAAGAAAATCAGTCAGCCATTTAGGTCAACACATCTCAATGACAGCAGGAGGAGCAGCAGTAAAAACTTAACAATTGAGGACTGTTCAAAGTTATCCACTTTTTTGGAAATTAACTTTTTGGGGTTTTTTTTGGCACCAATGTAAAAGGAAACTATTGAAGAAAAAAAATTCCATAAAAAATTCCATTACTGTAACAATCAAGATGAACAAACTTGTGGAGCAGGTGGGAGAGATAGAAATATTAAATTAGAGGAGAAATTTATTCTAATGCTAATCAATAATTCTAGCTAGTCTTTTATATAGAAATAATTAGATGGAAGGATTAATGAAAAAGATGTTCTACATAGAAAGTTTTTTTTTTTCAATTCAAAAAGTTAACATTAAGGTTGGTAATAGTAGTAACTATTCTGAAAGAAAATCCAAAGCAAAGGAAGAAAGCATAAAGTTTCAACTGAATATTTATTGCACAGTTAAAGTGTTAGAATGTTAGTAATATGTGAGTGATTATAAATTCAATAAATTTAAATATTAAAAAGAGAGAAATGGAATATTTAATCAAAGACAGGAGTAGAAAAAACAAAAATCTCCAAGTATTTTGAGTAAAACCAGTAGAAATGAAAGATTTTAACAAAATAAAAAATTGAAGAACTTAATTTTCATTTAATATTTATGAATTATTTTACAATTTAGACAATTATTGCTAATAAAAAGCTGAAGTTAAATTTATTTCCTTGCCCTTTCCTTTGTACAAGAGAGTGGTTTTCAACCATTAAATACTCAGAGGAATCTTAAACTGGTATTTATATGAAAGAGGAAAAATAAAGCTAGATTTTTTTTTATGAGGAAATAAAAGCTTGCTATTTTACAATTAGCTTAAACAATGTTCCCATCTTTGAATAGCCAGTTTGGTTACCCCCAACTACACTATAAAAACTGTATCACATGATAAAAAGATTACTGAGAATGAAAAGAATCAGACTGAAGATACTCTGCAAGGATGGAATTGAGAGAGAGATTAGTCTTAATCAATTATCAAGCCAAAAGGAAGCTTATTTAGGATAGACAGAGTTAAAAAAAATAATACTCATTTTTGAGGAGAAGGTCATTTAGAAGCTTTGAATTGAAAATAACGTATTTTGAGTTTCTGCAAAAACTTCTTAAAGTTCGCTAAAAAATAATATTGTTCTTTTTATGCCTTTCCAACAACCACCAGTTATCTAAAAGCAGAGAAACTTTTGATAGATCTTTTGTATTAAGAAGGAATCATTATCAACCAATATGAAGCAGCAAGAAATCAATGTTAAATTTATAATAGACTAATAATTTTTAAGATTCAGGTAATGGTTCAAATAAATAAAGATCTGAAAAGATTTTGAACAGATTAGAAGAAAAAGATTACAATTGTACATTTTATGTTGTTTTTTTTTTATTTGTTTGTTAATAGTTTGACATTCATCATTCATGCATGTGTGAGTGAAATTCCATGCTGTTATATGTAAATATGTGAAAAGAGGTGCCTATCTCTAAGTCGCAGATCTTATCCAGCTGATAAGACATAAATAATTGCAAGTGTGAATCTAAATTAAGGCATCTTGAAAGCCAAGAACTGATTGCTATCATGTGTTTTAGCTTTCACATCAGCCATTCATTAGTGGAGTAAGTGGTGCTAATATGTTAAGAGAGAGAACCAATTTTCAAAGACATCTGCAAAATATATAATTCTTTGTTTTTACCTATTATTAATCTGTTATTTTAGAAAATAGCTGCTGCTTAGATTGGACAAAATTTAACTACTAAAGAATTGTTTAATAGAAACATTCTGACATTCAGAGAAAGTGCAAAGCCAGTATCCAGGTTTTTTTTTTGGAGGGTGGGGGTAACTCACTTGTTTGAGTACAAAAACATTATAGGTAATATTTTGAGAAAATGAAAGTTCAGAACAAAACCACTTTAAAATATTCTGCCATGTAGGATATATATAAAGATAAATACTGAAAAGACCAAAAAACTGTTTACATATGATCAGATGGAAAAAATTAATTGAAAACTAAGTTTTCAAGTTTTTGTTTTTTAGTTGTAACCAAATGGTATAAAAAATAGTTTTGCTTTGAATCAAGGAAGAAATCAATACAATTTCTTTTAGAGAGCATGCTTCTTAAAATAGTTTTTCACTAATCCAAGTGAGTATCTTGTCATATTTAGTTGTTATTCCAATTGCAAGCTTTATAAACTTTATAGTACATGACAGCAAAAAACATGAAATCAGCAAATCATTTCTGTAATATACTGGAAGAACAATAAAATATATGGATAGGATTCATACAAATCTTATCTTTAAATAAGTGAACCATAATAAATAGCTTACAGGACAGAGTTAAGAAATTGAGATGGTGATAGTTAAAGCCAGACCTGCACAATTAAAAATATTAAGGGGCCCCATTGATCACAGAATATTAGCTGCAGGCCACAAGAGTGAATTATAAGTATGAGTGAGATAGAAACATATATACAGAGAGGGATAGCAAGAAATCTTTTTCATTTTTTTTTCTATAGAAAGTTTAAAAGATAAATTAGATACAAAGATAGTGTAATATTGGTTAAATAAGGTCAGGCTTCCACATAACTGAATTTTTCATATGTGATCAGTCATCGAATTTGAACACAAACAAAAATTACTATTTTGAAAACTCCTCATGGGTCACACTGGGTAGTCTCGGCCATATTTTGTACAGGACTGCTTTAAGCAATAGATATTAAAGGTATAAATTATTATCAGTAAAAAACATTTTTAAAATCTTGCACAAAATAGAGTTATTACTTTGTAATAATTATTTGACAGAAAGTAATAACAAACTAGAATTGTAAACCATATTGGAAAATTTATCGCTGGAAAGAATTCAACTGGTAAAATAATTTACAAAATATTTTGAAAATGATGAAATTTATTTAATAATGACATGAAATTTTTAAAAATGGAGTATTTTGATTATAGATTTATACAGTTTATATTTATCATATTAGGTTGTATCAAAAGTATTTCCATCTACCCCTCCCCCACCACAAGAAAACCCCACTACATATAAAGATTCTTACTTCATATTATTATTATCAATACTATTCAACTGCACATTTTATTTCATGTTATAATGGCAGTTACAAGTATTGAGATTCTAGCTC